ACCTATTGAGGACAAAATTGTGATAATCGAGTAAGCGTCAAAATGGATAATACTTTAAATGTGACGAATTTAACAATGTCAACAGACTTACGATCGAAATAAAATATATTTATAATACTTGAAATATTTATTATAATATTAACTTATAATATTATGTTGTGATGTTAAGAGATAATTATTTAAAACGTATTATATTATGAATATAATAAATAAATTACAAATCTATCAATTTATTTGGTAGATTGATTTTAAAAATATTACAATTTAAAACTATGCCAATTTTAATAATAATATAAAACAATGCAATTTTATTATAAAAATAGTTATTTTTTTCTTGAAAATGTATATATAAAAGAAAAATTATTATTTCTTAATTACAGTAAAATAATATTATAATTAATGTTTATGATATGATAAATATTATAAAAATAATATAAGATAATGATGAATATTTATAGGAAAATAAATATATAAAAAGTAATACTAATAATGTATATAAGAAATTATTAATAATTTATGAATAAAAAAATTAATATTATATAATTCTTATATAATTTCAAGAAAAATAAAATATTATTACAATGATAATATATTAATAATAGTAGTAAAATAAAAAGCTAAATAGTTGATTAATACTATATATTTAAAAAATAAAAATAATTACTAAAATTATAATATATTATAATCTAAAATTTAGAATATAATATTATAAAATAAAATATAATAAAAAATTATAAATAAAAAAAATATCGATATCCATATATGTATGAGTATCGAATTAAGACATTAATATATTTGTTCTATGTTATTTAATTAAAAATAAAAAAAATTAAAATAATTATAGAAAGTTTTATGTTGATTAACATTTTAAAAATAAAAATAAATAGTAATTAGCTGTGAAAAATTATTTAATTTTTGTACGGGTTTAAAAACAAGAAAATATCATTTAAATTAAAAAAGTAAAGATACAAAATTAAAAAAAGTAATTAATAGATTGTAAAGACTTAATTACAATATTAACAAATTAATTATATTAAATGATATGTCAGTTAGATACACATGTCTATATATCATTGGACAATAGTAGAGAGAACACAAAAATATATTATTTATAATATGCATCGAAATAATAGTCAATTTCTATTGTCCACTAAAAAAAATACTTTTAGGGTGTGTTTGGGTAGAGAAGTAAAAAATATGTGAAAAATAGAATAGAGAGAAATAAGTGAGTAAAAATAGGTAAGAAATAGAATAAAATTTTAATTATTTAATTTAAAGAGAAATGGGAAGAAAAAAAATAAAGAAGAGAGAAATAAAAGAATAATAATAATTACTTTTTAAAAAATAATTTTGTCTTCAATCATACATAAGTTTTGAATTTTAATTGATTACACTATTTTTTTTTAATTTGTTACACATCGTGTGGTGGTTTAAAAGCCGTCATTATTTGATTAAAAAATTTATTAAAAAAAGGTTGATTGTGGCAATTTCCTAACCACGACAATAAAATAATATTATAAGTGTATGATTTCTGGCTGTCAAGTAAAAAATATAAAAAAAATGTCAGAGATAAAGTCATTTCTTTTCTATTTCTATTCATCTAAGTTTGAAAACAAAGCGGTGGGTTTCACACTTTTCTATTTCTCATCCACATGATTTTTACTCTGTCAAATAACTAGCTTTATTTTTATTCTCTCATTTCTACTAGTTCTAACCTATTTCCGTGCAACCAAATAAGGGGGTAGTTATGGACGTAGATTGTTATAATAAAAGTTGGAAATTTGTAGAGAAATGTAAGTTATATAATAATAATTTTATAAGTTTTATCTATAATTAGTCATTGTAAATAAAAGTATATGAGTTTTCCTTACACTAAATATTTACATATAGAATGAAGAATAGGTATATGTCACTTTCCTTATAGTGACCTTCAATATAAAAGAGAGAGACAAAAGAAAATAACCTTTTTATATAATGAATATTCCTGTAATAAAAATCATTAAAAAGAAAGAAAGGATAAGTATAAATAGTAATTTAGAAGAGTGTAAATAATATTGGAAAAAATAAAAGTTGGTCGGCTCATACCATATTTAATCTCTCTCCTTATTTTATGATTTTTAATGAAGTCTAACCAATAAAAAAAAGTGTTTAAGATAAGTGTGTTACTAACACTTTTATATATCTTGATATGGTACTCTAAAAAATATGTTTGTTATAATGTTTTTCAACAAAAAAAAATTGTTTTACTTTACTAATAACCACACTAATATTTAATGTCAATATTTATTAAGTTGATCATCAAAATAAGAATATAATTTTAATTGAAAATATAATAATTAAAAATACCTAAAATAAATTTCAAAAAAAAAAATACCTAAAATAATGTACAAAATTTTTGATTACATCAAGTGATTTCGTTTTATTTATGCAACAAATTGTAGAATATAATATGTTTTGACATATTTTTTTTTACTTGTTTTTAAAGGACATTGATATTTAACCCCAAGCGTGTTGTTCAACGGTAGGGGTTGATCCACGCTTAAGCAAGGTCAGGGGTTCGAATCCTGCTTTGTGTATGCAGCTATGTTAAATTTTGGGGCCAGCTATCCCACCCTTTGAGGTGCCTCGCCTCCAACGTAACGAGGAAATTAGTCACTGTTGTCGGCGGTGAATACTCCAGGGACGAAAAAAAAAAAAAGGACGTTGATATTTATAAAGTAAAGATAATTTCTACTTATTTTATTATTTTTTATTTGACATATTTCTTATTGTCATGTTCTTATGTAAGTCCAACATTCAAGTGTTAGACATTGTGTTGCTTGGTTGAAATATTTTACAAAGTGAAGCTCTCACCACGGCATCACGCATTAAATAAGCAATGAGACTTGTTCAAAAATGATGTAAAATTTTGAAAAACAGCGCTTTCCGACTTGTCTGGCTTACGTATATTTGTACGTCAATTAATAGGTAATGATCGTTTCACTTTCATTACCGCTCTGTAGCTTTATTTGTCATTTGGTACATATTTTAATATTTAATTAATTTGCATTATTACATTCGAGTAGTTTTCATCTAATCTATTGTATAAAAAAATTTCAAGGTAGCCTTTGGCTGAAGTTAATGAAAGACAAGGAGTAAGACTTGACAAAGAGGATGAGACTACAACAAAACTTATTATTACCGACAATTATTTAACAACAATAAATTAATTGTCTCTATTTTATTATTTAATAAAAATATTACTGACTAATATACAATAGTCACTAAAAATGTATTCACATTATACCAAAACTTATTTAGCGACAATTATTTATTAGAAAAAACTTAAGTCTCATATCAACTAGAAATAAGATAATCAGAGAGTATTTAAGTGAATGATAACTCTCACCTTATAAGTTTGTTTTGTAGGATTAAGTTAGATCTGTAACTTATTATTCTAAGTTGATACTAGATTACTCACCATTACTAAGTTCAATAGTGCTAATTAAAAAAATAAGAAAATCAAAGAATATATAAGTAGAAGACAACATTCATCTTACAAGTCTCACATCGACTAAAAATAAGATAATAAAATAGTATTATAAATCATTTCTTAAACTTTTAGTGACAATAGCAAAAGATATTAAATGCCAGTAAAAAATACCGCAAAAAGTTTTACATTTTTACCGACCATTATAAGGGTCTTTACCAGCATATATAATAATAGTCGTTAAATGTTTTAGCAACACTGCAGAAATGCGGTAAAATTTTTTGTAGTAATTTTTATTGCCAGTAAAAATCATATTAAATGCCACTTAAAGTTTATTTTGTTGTAGTGATTCAAGTCTGAACAACTGTACTCCGGAAGAAAATCGCTTAGCGATCCTCACCTAAAGAATTCAAATATTCTCGTGGCCCTATTTTTGCTTAGCAATTTAGTAATCGTTAAGCCATTAATCACTTAGCGATTTGATTAGGTCGTTTAACGATCGGAGATGTCACAATATCCCATTTTTGTTAAACATGGATCGCATAGTGACTCTTGTCAATTCCTCAGCTATTTGTTTTACAAAAATGGGATGTTTTGTGAAAAGATTGTTTTTAGTAGGGAAAATGGGTTGTTTTTGGATTATTGGGAGTATGCATGTTTGAACACTGCTTTATTGCTCTTAAGAGGCTCTTCACTTCCCATGTTCCATTCTTCTTCATTTCTATGCTTTCCTCCATGATACAATATTCCCAGTGATGGAATCGGGGCACAAAACTAACAAGGTTTAAGAGCCGATAGTTTTAAGAAAGGAAAGAAGACTAAGAACGAAGTGGTTAATTTTCAGTGAATAGATAGCCTCTATTTATAAGAAAAAAACACTAGTATCTGGCTCCAAAAACGGAATGAAAATTAATCCGCTGCATATACTAAAACTATTAATAAATAATTAAGATATTAAGAAAGCGGTAATATAATGATAATCCTAACAAAATTGTATAAGAACCAAGCCAGAACATTAACTGAAAAAATTGGTCATATCCGAATAAGTTTTGAATAAATAAAATCTAAAAATAAAAATACTTTTGAAGTCCATACTTGCATGTGAATGATTTGCACTGCAATAGGTCCACAAAATCCATCCTCATAAGTGTAAGCTTATGGCCTATTGCTTGTTTCTTTGTAATGCGTTACACAACTTAATATATAAACATATACCCTCAAGCAATGGAGACTCAAGTCTTTTGAAATATATCTTTATAAAGATATAATGTACAACATTAACTAATGTTGATTTTGAAGTTCGATAGTATAAAATGTTTTAATAAGAAAATGTGTTTTTAGTGAAATCTAACCTCAACACTTCATATCTAATCTTTCAAAACTATATTTCACCACCATTTCTATATAAAAGATCAAAAATATCTTTGCAAGCTTTATTTATTTATGCTAACTCATTGAACAACTGATTAATTCTATTTATTCAAACAACAATAAATTTGTAAATCTCTTATCAAGTATATGAGAACGATATTCTACTCATTTGCAAATATTTAAACAATTTAGTACATTTGGCAAAGAGTTAAGATTGCATGGTATAGTGTTACCTTTATTTTAGATGAAAAGAAGATTACGTAAATAGGAAGGGTTTGTAAAGGACAAGACAAACACAAGTAATTTGACAAAAATAAAAAAGGAAAAGCGTCGTTGGTTTTATGGAGCATTTTTGTAGAGTGACAGAAGTGCATAACGCGTTAATTCCTCAGATTTCAGCAATCAGACAAACTGATTCAAATATTCATCGACGGTGGTGTATTTGACGTGAGGATAAGACTCAGAAGCCTCAACGTCTTTGGCAGGGTCAATCTCATACACTGCATCTCCCTTTATCTGTTGTGAGTGATACAATGCCAGCAGGTAATTATTTGGGAAGGAAGCCTCTACACAGGGACGGAGCCAGGATTTCAATACTGGGGGGCCGAAAATAAATAATATATAATTTATAATAAATGAAAATTAAAGTATCAAAAGCATATAAAAAAAAATATAAAAAAAAATTAAAATTGTTGGGGGGGCCGTGGCACCCGTAGGTCCCCCCTTGGCTCCATCCTTGTCTACAGTAAAACAAAAACATCAAAAATCAAGAGATCATGGTTAGTTTCACAAAATAAGAATTCATGTAACATTACTCATGATCATATCCAATCCTATAAAAAAGAATTTGTTGTCTTAAAATGAATGTTGTTACTGACCCTTAATGTCCTTGAGAACTTGTTCCTCTGGAACATAAGTTTTCTCAAGAGTCTTCCCAATCTTTTTCTCCCACAAAGAGATGATTTCATTAAAGGTCAAGTAATTGGCAGGGAGTCTTACGTGCACGGCTTTGTTCAAGGCTGTAGGGTCATTCGCTGCTTCGATGGTATAAGTGCCAGCATCAACCTCAGTAACAAATGCTCCTGAAACACAAGTAGTTAAATAATAATATGTAGTTAATTATGAACACGTTGAAGCTGTTATTTATCACGTGTGCCAAACAAAATATTGAACTATATGTATTACCTTTGACATTTCCATCTCCTAGAATGACTACCTTCTCTCGAGGAGGAACAACGATGTTATTAATCTGTGCGAGGTTACGTAAGAAGTAACCAGTAAAGGCATGGCAACAGAGGTAAGTGTAAGGAATTCCTTCGGCTTCAATTATTCTTCTGACTTTTGCTTTTTCCACGAAAACTTCTCTTACTGGATCCACTGAATCGTGACGGTCCACATCCAACCCAAATTCAGATGGGAAAAATCTCTGTTGACACAAGGAATTCAAAATAAGCGCTTAATACAAATCCAACCGTTGAAGGAATTACAGGCGTAAGTTATAGTGTTATACTACAGACACCTCTTTTGTTCGAAATATCGCAGTGTTAGATAATTAAGTTTCTGTCACTAACACTTCTACTCGGTGTTCAATTGGGTTTGTCGGTCACCTTTTTTATTTAGACTTGTTATAATATATATATATAAAATAGAGATTAAATTATGCAATTCAATTAATGATCTATGATTCAATCTTACACATGATCATGATGATCCAATATTTTTATAATTATATTTAGACTTATTAAATTATTTATAAAACTCGTATAAAACAAACCATCACGCAAACCAAACTAGACAGAAGTATGTACTAGTTAGTAAACTCGTCAAAATCTGTCATTTTCTCCTGTACTCGTAAGTCTAAGAATGAAAATATGGTTATTAATTTACCCACCTTGACGTTTCCAGCTTCTTTTATTGCTGCAATAATCTTGACCTGGTCTTCTATCAGTAGTCTACCAGCTGCACATATTACAACATCCACTTGCTTCATTGCCTTGACCAGTGTTTCATGATCGTTTATATCTCCCTGCACAGTCCAATAAACATATATACTTTATTTTTATCCATATAAAGTATAATAACAGCTACGAGATTTAAACTTTTATACATGCTAATACTATTTTAATTCCTTACCATTATAAAATATATGCTATGAGAGCACGTACTTATTTTGTTTCAAACAGTAGAAACTGGTATTGAAATGAAAGCACGTACGTACCTCGATTATTATAACTCCAGAATTTTTGAAGCTCTGAAGGAGCTCTTCCTTGGTTTCAGGATTAGCAGCTTTGACAAGGCTTACCCTGACATAAGAAGTGTTGCTCCTGACCAACACAAATGTGGGATTTCCTGCCTTAACACTTGCCCAAACTATGTGTCTTCCAATGGATCCTGTGGATCCTAGAACCAGGATTCTATCTTTTATAGCCATTGAATAAAACTAAATAGTAGTGTGTGTTTATAGGTAATCAAACTAGCAATGGCTTTGTGATGTACAGCAATACTTTGCTCGGTATTTATAGGGTCATACGTGACATCCTTTTCCTTATATTTTGACATTTCAGTGGTTGTATTCTATGATATTCACAAACAATAACATTTCACTCATCTTCTTTTATGGATTAGAAGGAGGTCAGAGTCTTTTATGGGTAATAACTCTTTCTTAAATATTTTCTGCATTTAAGATTAAGGATTAATCTCACATATCAATATAAGATTTTTTAATGGGTTTTATCTTTATTTCCATATTTTCTTGAAAATTTTTCAAAAAGTCACTATACTTAAATTGATTCAGTTCAAACAGGTTTAACTGGTAAATTCTTAAAAAATAAGTTATTAAAAAATAGATGTATCTTATTAATATAAATAATACTAAATTATCTTTTAAATCATCCTTACACTACTAGAATTTTTTTTATTACATGCGACTTTTCCAAACGTTGTTCTTGCAAATTTTTCTGTGAAATTTTATCTGTAGATAATACCTTTGTGGATAATATATTTTTGTGAATTTTAAAATTCGCAGGAAATTTTCCTGCGAAATTTCTTGCAAAAAAAATTCGCAGGAAAGTTTCCTGCAAAAAAAATTTGCAGGAAAGTTTCCTGCAAAAAAAATTTCTGCGAATTTTTTCGCAAGAAATTTTGCAGGAATATTTTTTATGAAAAAAATTTAAAAAATTACTATAAATTCTATCAATAATTTTTTAACTTTCAAATGCTCACAATGAATTCAAAGCATTTGTTTCCATGCCTCCAACATGTAATACATAATCTTTTAAATTCTAAGAATGTAGATTATAAACTAACACTCATCCATACAAATCAACTTGTAAGATAAGTGTTGTCCCAACTTATATACTCTTTAATTACTTTATATTCAATCGATATGAGACTTGAATTTTTTTTAAAATATTAAACTTATAAATTTAAATACTTTTTTTTATTTTTCCTGCGGATTAAAATTTGCAGGAAAAATTACTCGCAAATTTTTTTTACTATTTAGTAAACATTACTTGCGAATTTATTTTTGCAAGAAAATCTGCAAGAAATAAAATAAAATTCTTACAATATTTTTTGCAAAATTTTTACCATGAAAAAAAATTATATGATTATTAAAATTTTAGCAAAATTTATAAGAAATATCTATTAATTATTTTTTGCAAATAAATTCGCAAAAAATTTCTGCAAATATTTTTTTGCAGGAAAATTCGCAAAAAAAATTTTACAAATATTTTTTTGCAAGAAAATTCGCAAAACATTTCTGCAAATATATTTTTGTAGGAAAATTCGCAAGAAAATGACACTTTTCTTGATGGAATACCACTAAGGCCAAGTAGTCCAAGAGGTGATGTATTGAAAGAAGCAAAAGGAATGAGTTAGTGTTGAAAAATCATAGGAGGAGTGAGGCCACTTTTGGACCTTAGCTCCTAAGTTTTTATTAGCATAGCATTTATTTTTATTCATATTTTGCCCTTGTCTTTGATTTCCTATTTTACTCTTGTATTTTGGGATATCTTAGACATAGGATCTATTTTACTTGTATTTCCAATTTTACCCTTGTATTTTGGGGTATTTTAATCATAGGATTTATTTTCTTTTGTATTTCCCATTTTACCCTTGTATCATGGGGTGCTTTACATCATAGGTTTTTATTTTTGGGCTAAGGTATTTGATTAGGGTGGGAACAACAACCTAGACATATTTTTGTGGCTATTGGACCTATTTTTGGTGTAGAAAGGCGTAGACCCAAGTGGAGGGCAAAGGTTGCATGGTCTTATCATGCACCTAGATGTAGCCTAATTAAACCCAAAGATTTCATCTTTGGCCACCAAGTTGCATCTAGGGTTCATTTGAGTTTCATTTAGTGTGCATTTGGCATTGTGAATTTTGGCCAATGCAACCCTAGATGCCTCTCACTCCTATAAATACCCTAGGCTATGCATCATGTAAATACTTTGGATATTGAATATAAAGAGAGCCTTTTGTGCCTTTATATCCTTCCTTAGTCACCCTTGGCTAATTCGGCCACCTCCCTTCCATCTCCACCTTGAGAGAAACAACCCTAGAAGTGGCCTTCATCATCATGAAGTGAGTCAATCCTAGAGTACCCTTCTCAAGCATTTCCTCAAACACCTTCTACCCAACCGTCTATTCCATCATTATTCACCCTAAAACCTTGCGTCACCTTTGAAGAACTTGATCCTTGGAGAAGACGTCCTATTCTTTATAAGAAAATTCGCAAGAAAATGACACTTTTCTAATAGTGTTAATTGTTGAATCTCACACATATATTTTGTTCCTTTCATTCTAGTGTTTCTAGATGTTAGACCATAAACTTTAATCTACATGTGAAGTTTCCCTATATTTATCCGGGTTTCTCACGTCAATTCCCAAAATATCTATTTCGTTTCCGTCCAACTAAAATTAAAACTTGTCACATTTTTTCCTCTCTATCTCTGGACTTCGTTAAAGAACCAAAATATGTTTGAATTATATTACTAATTTATATTATAATCTAAATAAAAGATTTTTTTTAATATCTCAATATTATATAATTTCTCGATAAAATCTTTTGCATTAGCAGGACTAGAGAAACGAAAACTTTATCCATACAAATATAATATATAACAAAATATTTTCAATTTTAATAATTTATTTTTATACAATATCAATTCATTTAAAAAAATTTAAGTTGAATAGTTGGGTAGAAATGTTATTGTACCAACCAGAAAGTTCAAACATACAGCATTCACAAAACTGAATTAAAAACCGTGGAAAGTTCAAACAAACAACATCCAGTAAACTGACTATTGTTTACGAGGCGCACAAACAATTTATTTAAAGTGATAAAATTGTGGAAACTACAATGAAACTGATTTAAATTTTTGGAAAGTTCAAACAAGCTGGATGCTTACATACAAACAATAATTTATTTAAAGACATACACGCACAAACAATTTATTTATCAAAGTGGAAATTTTTTATTTAAGGAGATAAAACCTTCCTAGTATTTTTTGTATATACTTTGGAAAAATTACACAATAAACTACTCAAAAACACTTTTTTAAAAGACTTTTATATGAATGTAATGATTTTAAAGTTTTTTTTTTGAAAGACTTTCTAGAAATGTAATGACTTTTAAAAAAAATTAAAAAACTTTTATAATCAAGATTTTATAATATAAATTTGAATAAATTTATATCATAAGAATTTATAAGATTTTAATAAATTTTATAAGATTTAAAAGAATAATATGGATTTTTAAAAAATAATATAATTAATAAAAAAATAACATAAATGATCAGATTTAAATAAAGAAAAATAAAATCAATACAATCTAATAATAAATAATTAATTATAGTTTCATGTTCTCTAAATAATTACATTTCTTTACACATGACTATTTATGCATTGATATTTTCTTTCATGCTATTAAATTTGAATAATATATTTAAGTTTATGATATTTATTGATCAATAAAACTATCAAAATTGATCCAACATAATGCATTAGTTGATTGGTCCATTAGATCAAATTAGAATTTTAAGCCCAACAAAATTTTGACCAATTTGCTCCAAGTCACATGTCAAGTTGGACCGATATAAAGTTAGGTTGGAAAGGTACCAAACCTATTTGTTTCAATATTTTTTTATTTTTCCTTTAAAATTACATATAAAATTATTAAAAAAAAGTAATTGTTTCAAGTTATACACATCTATTAATTTAAGTATATTCAAGTTCATATTACATGTAACATAAGTAATAAAACTTTGACATTCATAATCAACGCATTCAAGATTTTATTTTTATATCTTTAGAAAACATATTTCACATACTAGTTTTATAAAGCTAAATTTCAGTTTTGGTGTCAATTCGCAATTTTGGCTGCTAAACTAAAAAACTATTATGTAAATAAGATATATTAATAAAATAAAAATCAATCACTCATTAAAATATATAAAAAAAATATTTTTTTGTTATTCATTTTTATTTTTATCTTTACATCTCAAGGCACTAAATATCATATCACTTTAGTGGTAACAAGTCATTAAACAATGAGAAAATTTAATGATTAATAAATATCAAATTGATAGTAGGATTAAAAATTTTTATTTTTAAAAATATAAGGATTAAATGTTTCTATTTTAAAATAAAAGGACCAAAATTTTGAATTGATAAAAATACAAGGACAAAAAGTAAAATTTAGCCTTTTATAGATAGCCTAAAAATTTCTCTTAAGTCAGGTTTGGATGAAGAAATTTAAAAGTTGAGATACTTAAAATTTTACATGTTTTGATTGGATAATTTGATTCAAATTTCTTAAATTTCAAATTAATATTTCAATATTAAACTTTATAGAGAGAGAGAAAATTGAGGAGACAGTAAAAAAACGAAAAAATTATGAGAAATTTAAAAAAATTTGATGAGATTATTGAATGAATAAATTATATGTAAATTCTACTAAAATATCTTACAAAATCTATCATTCCAAATAATGAAAAATTAAAAAAAAAAGTTGATGAGATTATTGAATGAATAAATTATATGTAAATTCTACTAAAAAGTCTTACAAAATCTATCATTCCAAATAATTCAATTGAAATATTTATATTTTTTAATATCAAAAACTTTTATTAAGTAAAAAAAAAACTTAATTATATATCACCAAATTCTGATGCACTCTTAAAAAAATTATAATTGTATTAGTTGAATGTTATTAAATTTTGACGTATGTGTATTCTTAAAAAATTATGATCGTCTTGATTGTCACATAATTTTTTTAGAGTTAATCACCTATACACTGTCAGTGTAAATTTTTTTACACTGACAACCAATTATATCTTATAAGAGTTAATCACCTATATACTATTGGTGTAAAAGTTTTTTTACATTGGCAACCAATCATATCTTTTAATAGTGACATGCCAGCTACTTTAATGAAATAAAAATAAAATAAAATAATTTAAAA